CCGTCATTATGTATTAACCTGTCACGATGCTGCGGAGCGTCTAGACTGAGCCTTTGTCTCTGGCGCGGAGAGCACACACACGCTTGTCTCTCGCGTCATCAGCGTCGTGGTCGACCTGGATATCGTGCCCAATGGGGGGGGACGAAAGGTACGGGAGAGACGGGAGCCTCTGTTCTACATCACGGCCCGGGCAGCGTGGGTCAAAAGGTCACCCCCACAACACATCTCGGAGAGAGCCACCGTCCATTACCCCGCCGCACCGCGCCAATACGACCGCGTAACCACTGAACGTTCGTACAGTCGCGGGCGATCCAGTCGAGCGGCGTCGTATAGGCAGAGCTCTTCACTCACAGTGGGAAGGAATGTCGCGAGTTGATCAACGGTCAGGGGTCGTCGACGCAGCCCATCATCCCTCCTGGTTAGGGGGTTCGATAAATTGGATACCAGTTTGTGGGAAGTCAATGGTGATTGTGCCATGATAAGAATGTGGATTTGGCACCACTGGATAAGTACTGCTACCCATGGTTTTGAACACAGGCCCACGCTGTAAATGTATTTGTTGTATACTAGGTAGGTAAGGGGTCATCTACTGCCCACTGATTCACGATTTGGGATTACGTTTTAATTCAATGTATTATTATTTCTGTCACGGTGCAGGTAGAATATAGGGGCTGCAGTATTTCCATGAACCAATCACATGAAATGTAATGGAATAGGGAATAATTGATTTCCACCTACACGATATAATGGCTGTAGTATCATTGTAAGAATCTGGTTTAATCAATTAACTAATCAACTGTTCCATGCCTACTAAGACGTACTGTATGTGTTTGCCTGTGACTAAAGCACGCTGAATGTGTCCAATCTTATCCGATCTAAAAGGCTAAGCAGTATTGAGCCCGATTAGTACTTGGATGGGAGGCTGCTTCGGAATACTATGTGTTGTCGTATTGAGGTGCGAGGCGGCCAAGCGATGATAGTACATTAACCATGTATTGCATCCATCTGTGAGGAGCTTTGCATGTGCTACCCCTTCATATTGTGGGTTTTCTGCAGATACTCCATGTTCCTTCCACATCGTTAAACAATCAGTAATGGAATTGACAAAACATCGCAATGCAAGGATGTTTGGCCAATTTTGGACAAATAGACCTGAAAGTGAGACTTTCCTGGATTAACGAAGGAAGGACATTATCTGCATTACTACGTGAACACAGACTTTACAAATGTTCGTAAAATAAATTGTTGGTGGTCTTTACAATATGTTTGAAAACATATGACAAGTTGTGCTCTCTAGCTCTACGTTTAGTTCACAAATGCACTGGCACTGCTGTCAAGTGTCGACCCGGGTTATCCTTGCAAAATAGTTCCTGGAATCTCAATGGATTCTCACCTCGTGCGGCAAAGTTTATTGCTCTATAATTGGGTGGGGGGGGAGCAGTAGCGCAGTGGTTAGCGCTCTTACGCTATGCCTCAGGCGACCTGACTTTGATTTTTAGCTGCAACTAATATTAGTGGCGACTGATAACTGAACCAGTCCCCTGCCCTCGATAGCTGAACCAGTCCCCTGCCCTCTCCAAGCACCAACCCGTACCAAGCAGTGGAGTCAAGTCTGGTCAGACAAACCCTCATGACTGAATCGAAATGGGTAGGCCTCCATTCAGTAGTAAATTGGTTGTGCATTATCAATTATTTACTCGACGATTATGCATCGGATTGCGAGTAAAAGTTACCTGCAGTGTTTTGATTTAACTGGCTTGCCTTGATGTTTTGTGTTTTGACATAGCATCCGTCACAAGTTCTTTGTATGAGGCAGAGTGTCATATCTTATTCACTTTCAAATTGTGACATTCAAACCTGGTTTATTGACTGATATATACCAGCTATCTCTTTTATCCAGTTTCCGGATCTGGCGTTAATTTTTCCTGAAACGGACGCTTGATCGCAGCATGTGAGCCGACAGTCTTTGCCAATTTTTATTTCAATCTCTATCCAGATTTTTTGTTCCCACTCCATTTTTTTATTTTTCCTAATACAATCTTTTTTTTACCCACTATTTTTTTCCCTCTTCACTCGCGCGCAAACAGCAGCGTGCGGGGCAGTTGCGTGCAGACTGACAGATCGGCTAATTTTATTTTAATACTTTTCCCGGCGCATAAGCAGCTGGCTCTGATTGAAGCCACTCGGCATCTCACCCGGCGTAATGGGATGTGCTCGCGCCAGGGAGCGTGTGAAATCATTGCGGGCAGAACGCCTGACTTCATACGCGCCAATGACTCAGGCTGGCGAGCCGGCACACCACGGAATCGTAATGCGAACAACGAGAATAAGAATACAGGACGTTTTTTTTTTTACTTTGTGTGTGTTTGTACGTGTGTGTTTGTATGCGTGTGTGTGTGTTTGTGGGTGTGTTTGGCATGTGTGTGTATTTGCTTGTTTGGATGTGTTCGTATTTGTGTGTGCGTGTGTTTAGATATGTGCTACGAACCCAGCGACCCATATTTTATTCCCACTCATGGCCAACGCCATTGACTTTTATCTGAACCGGTCCTGAGTCTCCCCTAGGTCGACTTAACTTAAGCTGAGTACCTGGTGTGGTGTGTAAACATCGCCACTAGGGAAACAAAACCGGCCAGGTGTGGTGCTGGCCACCCACCCACTCATGTGCCATACCGGCCTTCATTGGTGCTCCCTAACAGCACTTGCCCCTAAAGTCTGTGCAGGCGATACGTAGATCTTTATCTTTGTGTGTGCATGTCTGGGGATGTTTGTGTGTTTCTGCTATAATGTATGCCTGTTTTTGTGCTTGCGTTTGTACGCACGTGTACATGTATGTGTAAACAATTGTGTACGTTGGTGCCTGTGTATGTGTGCATGCACTTATGTGTATTTGAGTGTATATATCTACGTGTGTCTTTGAGTGTTTGCATATTTGTATGTGTACACTTGCACATGTCTGTGCATATATTTATTTGTACGTGTGTGTATTTGTGGGTGTGCATGTGTATATTCAGATTTGTGAATGTGAACATGTGTGTTTCCATGTACGGTATGTATGTTCACACTTTTTATGCGCATGTATGTATGTGACCTCGCTTTGATCCTGCTAACGTGGTTAAATTCCAACCGTGGATGAAAAGCAGTGGCAAATAGTATCTGAACCTGTTTTAGGTCACCCCTAGGTTGACACCCCTAGCCGTACATCAGCATCTGTGTGTAACTGTCAATCCTTTGGCAGATAAAGGAAGCTAGGCACGGTTCTGGCAACAGCACTACTTTGAGCATCGTGCTTGCCTTAATAGGTGCTTACTAACGTCACTTGCTGCGATGATCTATACAGCTAAACATGGAAGACCTCTGTATGCAAGATGTACGTGATTTTGCATGTGTGTGTGCCTTTCTAAACACACTTATTTGTATACGTAATTGCTCTTTTTCGCACAGAAGGCAGTTTTGCTGAGACTGTACGAAAGTTTTAGTTTTACATATTTATTTATTTATTCATTTTAAAGCACATCCTCGAAATATTTTGCATTACACCAGGGGTCGGCAACCTACAGCTGCGGAGTCGGATACATAAATAAATAAAAATGGCTGTTGTTTTGGCTGACCATGGGAGTCCAGCTGACAATGGAAACCCAGTTGACCACTGAAATCCAGTTCACCATGCGAGTCCCATTTACCATGGAAGTCCAGTTTACCATGGGCAGGGGCCAGCAACCTGTTGCTCCGGAGCCGCATGTGACTCTTTAAGGACTGTTTTGTGACGTTCTTTATTAAGGACCATATTGTATTCACATGCATTGTGGCTCTTAAAACATCGATTTTTTTTTCTTCCGAAATCGAAAGAAATTACCTCTTGTTATTTTGGTTGCCGACCCCTGCATTAGACCAAACCATCTTTACAAACCATAACGTTTGCCCCACAATCTGCAACCTCAAACTGAGCTTTGGATAATTATCTGCTTATTCTGGTTTGGAACGTCACCGTTAGTCTTTATTTTGTCCTTAAATTACTTGTGATTGAATCCTAACATATTTCCTCGTACGTGTGAGCATTTGTAAGCCTCTTTAGCTGTGTAGTTCTTGTGAAGGCTTTTAGCTTTTTGCAAAAAATAGCATATTGTGGATTTGTTTTGTTTCTTTCAACATTGCAACTGTATTGTTGTGAATGTTATTTACAGTTTAAAAATTTTCTGGTTTAATTTTACCGCGTAAAAGAGAGCCCTTTTTCTTAATTGGTTCTCAATTCAAGTGCAAATTGTCATAATACCTGCTGAGTGTTGACACATTTGTACTCTCACCTTGTTTCAAGGTTAAATAACTTAAGTGAAATAAATACTGAAAGTGGCCATGGTGGCACATGCGTTTAATTCATCGCCTTGCGAGCAGTACAGCAAGTAGGTTTAAATCTCGCTGTATGCAGGGCTTTTATCTGAGCACTAATGTATGTGTCCACACACACACTAAAAAAAAGTACAAGACACACATTCAAAGCAGGAAATAAGTATTGAGATTCAGCGAGGCTTGCTTTAATATGTAAAAAATACCGCAATAATAGCACATATATAAAGTAATCATAATATTTGCTTGCTTTTAATTTTGAAGTTGCAACGTCACAACTCCCCACATGCCATTCACTTGCTAGTGACAGACGCAAGTCGTTAATGCAGATGAGACAACTCTATAAGGTTTCTTTGAAATAGAGCGATGAAATTAGCTCAGGTCAGCACCTGACATAAGATATGGCAATGGCTTTAAGAGATCTTTATCCAGCAGTGAAAAGATCATTGCTGATGAAGTTTGTGACTACCTTTCTCTATAAAATAATTATGCCGACTGTTTGTGGATAGCGTCTTAATAAGATACGGTCGCATTTAGATGCTATTTAAGTCCACATTATATTTATAGTACCACGAAGATGATGATGATGATTGAGAAGGTGATGATTAAACTTAGTGACTACCGTCTTTGTCTTCTCCATCTCTGCACGTACACAGGTTCTGGGCCGTGAGGTGTATACCTCCAACAACCAGCTCGGCGGCATCCAGATCATGTACAACAATGGCGTGTCGCACACCACGGCAGAGGATGACTTTCAGGGAGTCTACACCATCCTGCAGTGGCTCTCCTATATGCCCAAAGTAGGCAGGGCCACGTCAGCACCTTACAGCACGGCAGCACACACCGCGGCTTGCATTTGAGAGCGTCTATATGCGATTCTATGTCAGGACTCATATCTCACGTAAGCGGTGGTTGGGAAGGGAGCGGTAGAGTTATAGTTGAAGAGAGATGTTGGTGCTGGGAGTGGTGGGAGTTTAGTTATTTTGTACAGGAGCCAGGGTGGAAGTGGTGGTGCAGTGGTTCACACGCAAATTATATTTGTCATTTAATTTAAATCATTCCCTCATGGCCATCTTTAGGTAGTAGATATAAACTCTACAGCTGTACAGTCATATTCTTGGTTCTTTCGGTAAAGTCACGTAGAAGGGAAACCAAAAGAACCAAGAATATGAATCCCTGCAGTCACGAAAGCTTTAAATCAAAAGCTGTACAGTCTTTATCTACTTCTTAGGACATATGGATAAGAAACAATGATCAGGACATTGACTAAGAAAATGGAACATAACTTAGAAATGCTGCAAAAAATATGGAGAAGTGCATGCTTACGATTGTACTAAGAGACGGGAAGAGGAAAACATGGTTTAGAGAGTATATGCGAGTTAGAGACGTAAAATTGACTGTTAATAAGAGTAAGTTGGCTTCGACAGGAGACATTGCGAGAGGGGAATGTTGCCCGATGGTTGAGATTCACATTACAGGGGCAGTCACACAAGAGAGATGGAGCAATTAAATCAACTCGTGAGCTGGAGCTAGATGGTTTGTTGCTTCACAAGACCGTGAGATTTGGCGACAGCTTGAGGATGCCTTCATTCGGTAGTGGATTGATCATGGCTGATGATGATGACAATGACAATGTATTTTAAATTTCCAGGACTCCCGCAGCCCCGTACCCATCCTGCACTCCAAGGACCCCATCGACCGAGAGGTGGATTTCATGCCAACAAAGGCCCCCTACGATCCCCGATGGATGCTGGCCGGCCGCCCGCATCCCAGTGGGTAACGGGTCCCCCTTGGAGCAGGGCCCAGCAAGCACACAACACAAATGATGGAGAATGCACACGTAAAACATTGTGTCACAAATATTGGCGAGAACCAGGGGAGCCTGTGACCAGATCACCCAAAATGCTTCTGATCTCGGCAAATTTCAGAAAATAAGCAGGGTTAAGTCTGACAGTGACCACCACGCATAAAATGTGTTGTTGGCTGCTGCGGGGCTATGTGGCCAGCAGAGGGCAGTGCTGAAAAATCAAATGTTGTACTGTAATATGCCCCTATGTCCATAACACCTCCCCCGCTTAATTTTTGCACAGTGTGGCGAGGCCTTCATCCAGCAGTAGGTTGAGCAAGGACTATACAATTAATATTATTAGAGCTATATGTTTATATCATTTTGGCATCTTGCTTTGCAAACGGGAGTTCTGTGGAAATAATTGTTGCTACCCTAATAATGAGGCACAAAAATGTTATGCACCAACTCACGATTAGAGGTATGTGCATTTCAATTCATTTTTACGTGATGAATTTAAACCCATACATTTTCAAGTTTTATAAAGAAATAAATAGCTGCATAGAAGAGAAATGACCACACAAATCATAGTCATGGCCATAAATACTTAATGTAGTGTAATATAAAATGTAGTTTTATGAGTATATACACATATATACCCATAATGAGTATATAAGATTTAATATATGAAAAACTATATTTGGTTCTTTATGTATTTATTATTTACTGGAATAAGTGCATTAATGGTATGAGCTACAATGCTTTACTGTAAAAGAATAATAGGTGTGTGTGCATACGTTTAAATGTTGAGGTCTGAAAATAATTGACCATCAAGTGCACATTCCACATGCATTTGCGTGTGTTTTTACGCATACCAATTATATTGCACCTATCACATTGTAGGCACCTCATGGTATTCTGTGCAATGCATAGCATGGTCGAAACATCATTTTGCAATTAAATTGAATGAACTTAGAGGGAGAGAGAGGAATCCAACCCTTAATGCCTTTGTTCTTAATCTGGATGTGATCGAGGTCCCCTGCCCTGATGTGTAGGTAGTGTTGCAAGTACATGTCTTATCCAGTGTACAATTCACATGGCACAAAGCCAATCACGATCAGTTTGAAATCGGTAGCAGTGGTCTATTTATTTATACATTTTTCGGTTCACCAAAACTGATTTGGGGGATAGCGTGTCCTTTGGATCTATTGTGTCATTGGATTTTTTATTTATATATATTCTCCCCATGGTGCCGAGGTTAGAAGCTGCAAACCTAAATGAGTGTTGGGTTGTCTCGGCTATGATGTTAATCGGCCTCAACACACATTGGACCCGCACCTCGGAGCTGAACTTCCCATGAACCCATTTATCAGTGACAGAGCCAGCCCAGGCTGATAGACAATTAATCCCGCTCGTTTTGAGATCATAATATCGTGCCCTGGCTTCGTGGTCCTTTAAGGAGAGGCAGATAACGCGTTTGTAATCACCATTAATCGTCGTTTAGCATTTTTATATAGATGTTTACATATCTGCAAGTCCCACTTTTCACACTCGGAGGTTATCCACCCTCTGTATGTTGTTTTTACGATTAAACTTTCTCCCTCCGTTTTAAACGTCGCCGTTTATGGTGTTTGGTTGCCTCTAATGGGCTGGTTATGCCACACTGAAAACAGACGGCAGTTTAAAAAAACATGTTAAATACAAATTTTAAGATGTAATTCTTTTTACCCCTCTGTCTGCATTATCGGTGGAGAGAGATATACAATTCTCAAAATCGTGTAACCCAGTGCTTGAAATTACACGTGACTGTAGTCCGATTAGAAAAATATAAATGCCTATACCAGGGTAATAAATCCTGTAGATTTACAAAACTGACTGAAAACACTTAGCAATTCCCTGATTAGCCTGCTTTTCACACAATCGGGTGTTATCATTATTGTTTTAATCTAGTTAGTAGGTAGGATGACCTGGCTCAACAACCTCAACGTAAAATTAAGAAGTAGCTAAGATAGTAATTAGATAGGTATGTCGATAGATAGATTCATAGGTAGACCAGTAGCCAGGATTGTAGATGGGCAATGCGTTTGATAGGTAAGTAGGTATACAAGTAGATAGGTAGTCTGGAACATAGCTAGTTAGGTGGGTTGGTAGGTAGAGAATCAGCTAAGTAGAAGGATGGATAAGTACACAAGTAAACACATCTATAAGTAGGCAGGCAGACATGCAAGTAGGTAAGTCGATAAGTACACAGGTAGTTAGGTATGTGGGGTGGGTAAATAGGTTGTCAGGTAAGTGAAGTTAGGAAGTTAGCATGCAAGTAAATAGATAAGTATGTGATTAGGTAGGCAGGCAGACAAGTAGGTACAGTGAGGGAAAAAAGTATTTGAGCCCCTGCTGATTTTGTACGTTTGCCCACTGACCAAGAAATTATCAGTCTATAATTTTAATGGTAGGGTTATTTGAACAGTGAGAGACAGAATAACAGCAAAAAAATCCAGAAAAACGCATGTCAAAAATGTTATAAATTGATTTGCATTTTAATGAGGGAAATAAGTATTTGCCCCCTCTCAAGCAGAAATATTTCTGGCTCCAGGTGTCTTTTATACAGGTAACGAGCTGAGATTAGGAGCACACTCTTAAAAGGAGTGCTCTTAATCTCAGCTTCTTACCTGTATAAAAGGCACCTGTCCACAGAAGCAATCAATCAATCAGATTCCAAACTCTCCACCATGGCCAAGACCAAAGAGCTCTCCAAGGATGTCAGGGACAAGATTGTAGACCTACACAAGGCTGGAATGGGCTACAAGACCATTGCCAAGCAGCTTGGTGAGAAGGTGACAACAGTTGGTGCGATTATTTGCAAATGGAAGAAACACAAAAGAACTGTCAATCTCCCTCGGCCTGGGGTTCCATGCAAGATCTCACCTCGTGGCGTTGCAATGATCATGAGCACGGTGAGGAATCAGCCCAGAACTACACGGGAGGATCTTGTCAATAATCTGAAGGCAGCTGGGACCATAGTCATCAAGAAAACAATTGGTAACACACTACGCCGTGAAGGACTGAAATCCTGCAGCGCCCGCAAGGTCCCCCTGCTCAAGAAAGCACATTTACATGCCCGTCTGAAGTTTGCCAATGAACATCTGAATGATTCAGAGGACAGCTGGGTGAAAGTGTTGTGGTCAGATGAGACCAAAATGGAGCTCTTTGGCATCAACTCAACTCGCCGTATTTGGAGGAGGAGGAATGCTGCCTATGACCCCAAGAACACCATCCCCACCGTCAAACATGGAGGTGGAAACATTATGCTTTGGGGGTGTTTTTCTGCTAAGGGGACAGGACAACTTCACCGCATCAAAGGGACGATGGAAGGGGCAATATACCATCAAATATTGGGTGAGAACCTCCTTCCTTCAGCAAGGGCATTGAAAATTGGTCGTGGATGGGTATTCCAGCATGACAATGACCCAAAACACACGGCCAAGGCAACAAAGGAGTGGCTCAAGAAGAAGCACATTAAGGTCCTGGAGTGGCCTAGCCAGTCTCCAGACCTTCATCCCATAGAAAATCTGTGGAGGAAGCTGAAGGTTCGAGTTGCCAAACGTCAGCCTCGAAACCTTAATGACTTGGAGAAGATCTGCAAAGAGGAGTGGGACAAAATCCCTCCTGAGATGTGTGCAAACCTGTTGGCCAACTACAAGAAACGTCTGACCTCTGTGATTGCCAAACAAGGGCTTTGCCACCAAGTACTAAGTCATGTTTTGCAGAGGGGTCAAATACTTATTTCCCTCATTAAAATGCAAATCAATTTATAACATTTTTGACATGCGTTTTTCTGGATTTTTTTGTTATCCTGTCTCTCACTGTTCAAATAAACCTACCATTAAAATTATAGACTGATCACTTCTTTGTCAGTGGGCAAACGTGCAAAATCAGCAGGGGATCAAATACTTTTTTCCCTCACTGTAGGTACGCAGGTAAGTAGGTAGGTCAGGAGGTAGGTAGATGCATGAAATTCATCAGCTTGCAATATTTGTCTCCTTACAATGCTCTGATTCGTTTGCATAATGTCATGGCTGGGTTTCGATTGCGTGCTATCCTGTATGAGCAAAGTCTTTTTTAAGAGGTTTTTTTTATTTAAAATCAATGGTTCCGTTTATTTGGTCACTTCACGAGAGAAGTCCGTTAAAGCCAGTGGCTCGTTATGCGACTCGGAACCGTTTTCCTAACCGTTGTCATCGCCACTGCCCATCAGATTGGTCCTCTGTCGACACCCTCACCGCCATCTCGTTACCCGGGCCGAAAATGTTCTGCGAATAAAAAATCGTTAACGTTTCTAATTGGGCTCCCTCACCACTTCCGTGACTTAGACACGGATCTTCAGCTGATGTTAACCCCCTCACGCCCTATTTTCTGTGTGTGTGCTCGACAAAACGGCATGTGTCGTGACACCGTTCACACTAAAGCGTTGATGGGCAATCGTTGCAGGCAACGGTCACTGACAATGTATATACTCCATAGGCAATTATGGCAACTTGGTAAAATGGCATAGGTTGATTGAGCTCTCTCTCTCGCGCTAATTAAAGCAGAGTTTCTTTAAAACTGCATGAAATGAACAGTCATTGGTCTGCAGAGCACACAACCTAGGGTAGTCATGTGACGATCCTAGGGTATTCACTGCCATCCCAATTGCACACTAAGAGATGTGGCAATCAGAGGAAGTTCAACATACATACAAGAGAAGCCGTGATCAGATTTGTCCATATTTAGGAGACTACATTATTTGACAATATAAATTTGTGGAACAGCTGGGGGTGTATCGATGCATCGATTCATCAATCATGATTGATTCTTAAGCTCATGATGCATGCACCCAATAGTGTATTCGAGAATCAATCTGTATGATTAATGAATTCATATGCGAATAATATGCTAACTTTACATTTAGGTGAATGGAGCACAAAACGGCACTTGCTTGAAACAATACAAAACATGGTGGCAAATACTGGGAAAACGAATCCACTGTCCCAAAATTGTAACAATTCATGGAATTACCGTGCGATGGGGTTTAAGTGAATCAGTTCATCCCGAGTGGCAACCATTGCCGATGACGATTGCACACAACGATTTCCCCAAAATTGCCCTAGTGTATCACGTCTTCGAGAGTTTGGGGTCGTGACCCAGACCGGGGTCATGGGGTCTGTGCTGAGTGCTGGGAGAGCAGCACGTGCAGGCACGTGCGATATCGATGATTTGATAAGCTATTGACGCTGAAGAATTGAAGCGAAGGCGATATGATATCTCGTTATCACGGATATCGAATTTTTTTGGGGGGAGTGGTATGTTAGTCCTTGGTCTGAGCCACAGTAATTCCCAGCGATGCATTCAGCCGCAATTGGTGCCGAGTTTATCCACATTCCAATTTACTGTGTAATTTACAGCCCCATATATGTGACTCCACTGCTGGATGAAGGCCTCACCGGGCCATGTTGTTCATCAGTGCAGTTAGGTGAATTTGGGGAGGTGGGATGATAACCCAAACTGATTTTGATATCTCTCCCCACTTCTCCAGCTGACCTTGAATCAATACGTTTTTTACAATGTATTATTTTGTTATGATCAAGAGAAACCTCTGAGAGAATTTCCTTTTGTATAGGGGTTCTTGTTTGAAATCTGTTTATTTAAAGGCTGCCTTTTAGGTTTGATCAACACATTGACCGCGCGTAACCTTGAGTGCTCATTGTTTCATAAACTTCGACATTTGCATGACAATTATCGGCGTAATTTAGTTTAATCTGCCATAATTTTTTATTTTCGTTTTACTATTTAATTATCCGTCCATGCATTTGCAACATTTACATGATTGTGTAGCTACAGAAAAATCGTGTTTAAATTAAGTGTTATTTCATTAATGTGGGTGGCAGGATGCTGATGTGTGCCAACAGACGTCAGCTTATTGGCAATTCGCTTTGTTTGTCTCTTTAGCTTCTTTGTCACGCCTCCTCCTTTGCCCCCCACCCCGTGCAAGTTCAGACTTAAGACATTCCTCTTTACCTCTGCTTTATTGCTGCTGAATTTGATCCTGTTTATATGGAAGTAGTTTGCTCTCTTCCCCATGCTTTGCTATATATTATACTGTTTTGACCATGGCTGTTGCTGCCAGTCACGTGCCGCCTCCTGCGGCCTACGATTGTCCCGTAAAATATTTAGTGAGAAATTGAGCCTTGCTGACACCCACGGATGGATGGGTGGGTGACATGTCTCGTTCCAAAACTTGCGTTGCATTTTTTTGGTTTCCGTCCCCTTACAGCAAACAAGGAAACGTGGCAAAGTGGCTTCTTCGACCACGGCTCCTTCATGGAGATCATGCGACCCTGGGCACAGACGGTCGTCGTGGGACGAGCCAAGTGAGTCGCCCTGTCACCTCTCGCTCCTTCTCTCGTTAGACCATGGGGAGGCCGTTTCAGGTTAGAGTTTAGCCCAGTTTTTTTTGTCCTCTGGCACATCCTAGTCGTTGCCTGGGGAGGGTGGGGGGCTGTGCTGAGTCAGGCTGTTGTGGGTCAGGAGACACGAGTCGTTTTCGCACTGCAGCAACAGAGCCGCGTCGCTGACGTTGCACACAATGTGCAACGTCAAGACGCAGCTGACACGGTGAGACTGTGTATTGGTTGACTCACACAGATATTACATGCTGTCACACATATACGTTTTTAGTGGCCCAAGGCTCTGACTGGACACCGTATTACTCATGTCCTTTTAGTTCTGATAATGTTACACAAATTGAAGACATCGTTATTGCTGTCCCTGGCTCGGCTTGGGCACGAGCTAGATTAAGAGACCAGCGTAGCACAGCTTGATTGTTACTCAGCTAGGTAAATTGCTCGTGGAAAAAATCCCCCTTACCATGATATGCATCTGAGCAGAGCCAGCACGGAGCCATATGTACGTACATATGTTGAACTTCTTACGTATGGTGCTAAATAAGTTCAACGTATATACATACATATTTCCCAGCGCTGGCTCGGCACGGATGTGCCAGTGGAAAAGGGGAATAGGTTGTCAGGTGTCTTTGATATCTGGACCATGGTATTGCGGTGGGAGGCAGTGGGCACAAAAATGTTTTAAGGAAGGACTAAAGAAAAGGTAAGGTGACCGAACATATTGCTTGCCACATAACCTCCTTTGTGTATCATTCCAGCATTAATAGATGCTCAGCATTTTCTGGGGACCTTTGTGTGTGTGTGTGTGTACACACGCGTGCGTGTGTGTTTGTTTGATGGGAAGATTTTTCACATTGTGATGCCGGTGAACATGGTTCGATTCCGAGGTACAGACTATGCCATTGGCAATTTCATTATCTGAACCAGATATGAGCATCCTTTAGGTCGCCTCAGTCTATAATTAGGTGCAAGAGCATTGAACAGAGGTGAAACCAATTGTACTGCTTGTACGAGTGCAATTGGTGCCCAGCTGTACAGTACAGCCATGGCGTTTGAATTTTAAATTTATTCCTGCAATTTAACAGTTCGGCAAAAGTAAATATGCACTTGCAGACAAATACATAAATGCTACGTAAGTATATAAAGAACCACACCACAGACACACAGGCGCGCATACATTTTTTCACCCCCCCCCCCCAAAAAAAAATCCCAGCAACTGAAAGTCATTCTCTTATCACGGCGCCCTTTGATGTGTAGCATTAAGGACAGCACTGCTGCGACTTGATAAAAGATGGGCGCGCATTGCAGCGTTGCGGCTCTCTCCGACTGCGCATTAAACCCCCTTTTATCCTTTGGCTCGCCCGCAGAGGACCTCCAAACGGCGTCATTCGGAACGCATTAGGAGCCGCCGCTCAAACCGCGCCAATCGTACCCCCTTTGTGCGCGCGTGCGTTTTTAAATTGCCTCATCACAGGCAATTACCAAGCTGCTGCTGCTGCTTCCTCCTCTCGCAACAACAAACCCCGAGCCGCAGCGCTTCTGTTGTCGCCACATTCCGTTCCCTTCCTATAGCCCCTAAAACTCCCTCGTTCCTTCTCCACGGCCACTGCAGTGCCAGCCACTTTGCTGCTTTTCTTCTAGAGACCTCCGCTGCTTCTGCCACCCCCCCCACCTCACAGACTCCCGCCGCCACCATCACCCACCTCTCCATCCCTCTCTCACGTGATTTTGTTTTTCCATTTACTGCACATCTGGAACATTATCTCCATTTCAGAGCAGATATTTTGGTGCTGTCTTCTCACCGTCCTTTGTTGCCTTTTGTGTGTGCGTGTGTGTATGAGTATTTTATTTTTATAACTCTAGTTGTCGCGATGCAAGGTACGATGATGGCGGGCGGCCAAGCGGGTAGGCGGTGGTTTGGGGGAAAATTTGGCACGGGCGATTTTAGCCATGGCGAAATTGCTCTGATTTAACTTTTCTTTATATATTTATTTCCTTTTCACGTAATTTTGTTTCTCTTTTTCTGGAGGCGAGGGCCAAAATTGCGGCATCATCATCATCACCATCATTGCACGCGGGGTACGCCGCTGCCTTTGAGGGCCTTATTTCGCGTGAGTCGGCATGGCCGCATCGAGGCCCGCAGGTCGCCGTGTCAGGCATAATGGGGCCATTAACCCCTGTTGAGAGGGGGCCTTGCCTTCTCTCCGTCCTCTCCCTGCCATCCGCCTGCCGGCAAAGCTAACAGCACCTCATAGGGCTATCTTATTGACAAATGGGATCTGGGAAAATTTCATCCAAACCTGGCTCATATTATGTCTTAGATAGGTAGTTGATGTTTGTTTGGGTGGTTTTTTGAGGGGGGGGAGGGTTGAAAAGAACTGAGAGAAGGGTTTTTGAGCTTTCAGTTGTGGGTGCGGCGTTTGGCTGTGTTTTGAGCGTTTTGATGGTGTTTCTGTGGTGCCGGAGAAGCCTTGGTCTTAGTTTGATACCAGAGTGAGGTGGTCAGCATGTAGGAAAGTCTAATTAGTCTTAATGCTCTTGTTAGTAAATCTTGCAGTGGGATATTTCTCCAATTTAATGAATGAGTGTTTGGTGATTGTGTGTGTGAGAGTGATTGTCAAAGTGCACCTGGCCTGGCACAGGCGCCATGGTGACGTCACCACCACTTAGTGGTGATTGGCAGCTGTTGTATTTATATATATATATGTGTGTGAGTGATTGTGTTTATATTTGGGTTTATGTGTGTTTGAATGATTGTGTGTGTGAGTGATTTGGTATGTGCACGTGTGCTAGTAATTGTGTTTGTATTTGTGTGTTATGTGTGTGAGTATTTTTTCGTATGACTATTTGTGTTAGTCGTGTGTGAGTGATTGTGTGTGCATGCATATGTGTGTGAGTGATATATGGGGAGCAGTAGTGCAGCAGTTAACACTCTGCACTATGAACGTAGCAATATGAGTTTGAGTCCCGCTCATGGCCAACACCAGTGACGATTATCTGAACCGGTCTTGGGGCTCCCCTAGGCTGACTTAGCCTCAACTGAGTACCTAGTGCAGTATGTAAACATCACCACTGGGAAAACAAAGGCGATCAGGTGTGGTGCTGACCACCCATGCCCTCATGTACTGTGCCAGCCTTCATAGGTGCTCGCTAACAGCACTTTCCTCCAAAAGTCTGTTATGTCAGGGATCTTTGTGTTGTGTTATTGATCATGTGAGTGTGTGAGTGAATGTGTTTGTATATTTATGCTTTTGTGTGCACATGCATTACCTGCCCATATTCACAAAGACATGTGACTGAGAAATGTAGATTAGAATTTAAAAACATAAACAACTCAATTCTGAGTACCACAAATTCCATTGTTCAGCACCCAGGTGTACGCTGTGAGATGCAAACAACGCGAAATTATGTTAAATAGTAATTCTATTAAGACTTTGCACAATTTATAGCTGTAACCACGGGTATAGTATGTACATAGATGCACTGTTATGATGACAAGACCACAGTTAATATCCTACCAACCGACCAGGTGTCTCAGCGGTAGAGCAAGTGGCTCGCAATTGGAAGGTTGCGAGTTTGGATCCTAGCTGGCGGTTGACTCAGCCCATCATCTCTCTCAGGTTCAAATACTGAGTACCACTTTGTTGGAAAGTTAATAGTTATTGTCCTGTGGAGGGGCTTGCCCTCACCAACAAGAAATCGGAATTTTTACCCATGGCTCAGGGCTGTGAACAGGAGATGAGCACTGTCCCTCAATGCTCATTTTGAGCGGGAAAATCTCTGACTTTTTCGACCATCTCTCCCACGATGCGTTCAAGGAAAATAAATGCCCTTGATGCCACCGTGCCCGTCTTAATTAATCATACGCTCTGCCTCACGGAGTTAGTTTCTTGCTGAATACGAGTATAGTATTACGTACCGTCAGCATGGACATGAGCATTATTCTGGTCCATCATCCAGCCCCATGACAATTATAAATGCCCAACATTCGTAAACGACTGCAAACGGCAGCAAAATGACAGGAGCGATGTGGATCTCATTATGTACAGTGCATTTACACAACGTCGCATATCCGACAATCATGCATCCATCCTGATCAGTTACCTGCCCACACTCCAGTGCATTCTTTGCGTGTGGTGTAATTGTAAATTTTCTTTAGATGTTTACAGATCAAACTTTTTCACACAGTAACGTTTTCTCAATGTGGATTTGCTTACTTCTCTTACGTTGGGTAGAGCATTTCTCCATGTTCAAAGTAGTTTATGTCTTACTCTTGTCCAGCCACCTACTTGAGCATGTTGCTGGAGCTGCCATTTTCTTTCGACATTCACACATCCGTCCTCTTAACTTATCCGCACTATACCTCAGTCCCCAGGTATATGCGATGTTGTCCAGTTGTTTGCATCAGCTGTTGGATTTCGTTGTTGGTGTTGTAATTTATTGTTGGCCATTCTGTGTCCTTTAAATTGGAGGGGACATGGGGGTGAGAAATAGCTGTTTTTGTGACGATAAATACATTTACGAAGGGGCTCAAAACTCATAAATTGTTTCCCTGCCATCAGCATAGAATATTCTGTGCATGCCACTAAGCCTACAGTAGCAGTTGTTGCGGCTTGTGCAGCTTGTATTGTGGGGAGGAGGGGGGGGGTAAAGAATATTCAGGAGATGTCGCGCAACGAAGTCAATCTGTGCATTTTTGAGCACGGCATATGCCGGTTTAATTCCGTCAGCTATTAAAATTACATTTCCATTAAACCCACCAACTGCCTAATAGACCCGGGCGCAGTGGCACTGTGGAAGGCCACTTCATTGCGCTAATGCAGTTCATTGTTTATGTGACACAGTATTCTTTTTAATGAATAGTGTGTGTGTATATATATGTGTGTGTGTAATGATATTATTTTGAAAGAGGGAGAGTTGGCAGAGAACAAACTTTATTTATGAATAATTTATTTGGCATTTTTTATTGTTATGTTTGTGAAAAGTAAATGAATACGTTTAGTTTCACACATCATATATTGTACTTTGCCATCAAACTATTCAGAGTTCTTAAATTCCTTTTTACCATTTGACTTACGTGTGTGTGGTGTGTGTGCACGTGCATTAGGTGTAAACTCTTCCCTGGTGATTTGATTATTTTGCGTCCCATGTTTACCATCTCATTTGTCCTCTTTACTCCTTTGTTCTCTCTCATTTCTATACATGTATCTGCTTTCAATTGCCTCAATGTAACATAACCAAAATATGTGCCTCTCATTAGCATAAATCATAACATAACACCTTCGGTATTCAATGCATGTGGTATGAGAAATTTCATGAATCGATGCATCGTTACTTGCCTGATGTAGACACGTATGTGTGCGTACGTGTATGAATGTGCTTTTGTTCATGGGCATGCCTGAATGCACAAGCACACGTGTGTGTGTGTGTACCTAGAGTGCATTTGAGGGTGCATGCTCACATATATGCCTGTGTACGCATAATAACACTTGTATTTCACTATGCATAACAACACTCGTCCTTGTGCATTTGTGTGAGGACATACGCTTGCGTATAGCGTAGTTGGTTAGCGCATTGTGCGATGAATGTGGCTATCCAATTCGATTCCCGCTCATGGCTAACATCAGTGACAAATATTTGAACCAGTCCTGGCCCTCCCCAGGTCGTTGACTCAGCCTTAAATGAGTATCTGGTTTGCGATGTATAAACATTGGCACTGGGGAGACAAAGGCGGCCGAGCAGGCGCAGACAACAACACCGTCTCATGCATCATGCCAACCTTCCGAGGTGCTAGCTCACAGCACTTGCCCCAACAGTCTGTATGGCTTGTACGGGGGATCTTTGTGTATCAACACTCATCTGTGCGTGTGTGTGTGTTCATGTGTGTTCATGCAACGTAGGCTTGGAGGAATCCCGGTGGGGGTCGTCGCCGTGGAAACGAGAACAGTGGAGCTGGCGATTCCGGCTGACCCCGCCAACCTCGACTCGGAGGCCAAGGTGAGACGCAATCGCTCGTGGAGCCAGGATCACGCACGGGGAGGCAGCATCACTTGCACACAGAGAGAGAGGGAGAGAGTGTGTCACAGGCACACAGACAGGCGTACAGCAGCACACCGGGGTTCAGTGTAAAGATCACGATGCACGAGGGCAATTTTATGGGAGTCTCGCTGCCAACTGTCACCAATACCGCATACTGTAGGTCAAAGCGCCTCTCTTTCCGAGTCTTTCTCCTCGTGGCTCGACTTTGGAATACCCTCCCATGAACTGTTTTCCCAAGTTCTTAGAACCTTGCCAAATTCAAGAAATGCATTAACTCTTATTTATTACACCTTCGGTCATGCTGCTTGCTTGTTGTTGGCTGCTTGGCGTTTTGGACCTTCGGGTCTGTGCTCAGCAACTGATACAAAAAACTTCGTACGGCAGCAGAGTTTTGTCCTGCCAATGACAACCGGGTATGCTGAAAAGTGCATTTCACGAACATTGATTGGTCAACAGAACGTACAACCTCAGGTAGTCATGTGACTTCTGTCTGTGATCTGATGGTAAATTGGCATTACAGTTTCCAACGGTACAGATCAGAAAATGGTGCGGAGACTATTTATGGAAGCAATTGACCTCAAATTTCCATTGATTTTCACGGTCTTTAGTTTGGCTCAGTGTCAGGGATTGAGTATTAGTTAGGGCTATGGGTTAGAATTTAGGTATAGGATTACGGATTTTATCTTGATTTAGAGTATAGAGTTAAGGTTACTGGGATTTGCTGTACTGGTTAGGGTACGGCTGAAGGTTATGGTTCGATTAAGGGTTAGGTCAGGGCTATCTAAACTGTTTCCCATAGGTCAAATCCTTGCTGACAACTCGTTTAATCTGGGCCGTGATGCCACTCAAACTTAAAAATGTCCTGCTGCAGCTTCGGAATTAAAAATAAAACTCCTATCTCGCTCTCTAATAGCGGTCTTCTGAATACATATCCTTTCTTTCTCTTATCTCTTTTCTGAATACATGTCACTCCTATAGCTATATGTATTTATTGCATGTTTGTAGCCTGTGGATCTCAGTATGTTAATAATTTCAGCAATTAATTCCAAAAGTTTAGACATCCTTGGGTTAGGTATTAGAATTCGAGCTAAGGATTAGAGGTAGGGTTAGGATTAGGTATTAGGATTAGGGCTGAGAGTTAGTATTCATATGGGGGCCAGGGCTGTTGTTAAAGTTCGATTTAGATATTGGTGTTTGGCTTTGGGTTAGAGTTAAGATCTTGGATTAGGGCGAACGTTTAGGCTTAGCCATTAGGGTTAGGACCACAAGTTGGAATATGTATTAAGGTGAGGGCTTTTGTTAGAGTTGGGGTTAGGGATAACTACTAAGATTAAGATTTGGGTCTGGGTTAAGGATAGGATTATGGATTGTGATTAAGGCAAAAGGGTAGTTTAGGATACAGAGCTATTGTTAGATTTAGGGTCAGAGATAAGGGTTAGTTTTGAGGTTATGGTCATGGTCAAGAATTAGGGCTGGGGTGTAGATATGCAGTTATATTCAGGGTTATATTTAGAGTTAAAGTGAAGGATTAGTGCTAAGGGTCAGAGTTGCATAAGTCTATTTGCCATGCTGTCTAAAAATGTATCTGTACTGCTTATTGTTGTGTTTAATGTTTGCAAGCTGTTACATTTTCTCATTACTCTGACAATCTGGCTGCAAATTTTCTCTTGAAACTGCCGCCTCACTGCCAGTGCTGTCAGAACTCACTTGGAAATGAGATGTAAATCTCAGAGGAATATCCAGATTAGAATAAGGTTTTGAAATATATATATTTTTATCTTGGCTTGGGTTAGGTGTAAAGTTTGGGTTAGAGGAAAGAGTTTTAATTCTTAGCACTGGCATTATTGCAGTGTGCCAATTGATAGCTTTGCCTTACTTGATTTCATAGATGCACCACCACTGTGCCTTAATCTGTAGGCTATCTTAGCGCATACCGTTCTGCCAATTGTGTAAGGTTTAACATTAAAATTTGAAGTGTGTATTATTTGAATAATTTCTGGTATTAAGGGGCACAATCTGCTCTCACATTCAATTCAACTCTCCCCCAACTCCACACACTGAAAAAGTTTTGTTATAATTTCTCCATACATTTGCCCCCGTACTTGGTCACATCCAAAGTAATGCCCCTGGGGATGTGAGTCGGTACAGTTTGCCATAGTAGCTTGGCCGGGATTCCGATGGTAGATTTGCTGGGCCAAGCCAGCACCAACCAGGTGATGCAGCTCGCTTTTAGCGGGCCTCGTGATTCTCTCATCGGATTCCTCCGGTATAAATAAGAATTCTGATTCTTTCCTAAGAGAGCTGCACCCTTTCACCTAGTCCACCCTCTAGGAAAGTAATTAAGTCAAGATAGATACAAATGCGTCAGTGGTGTCTCTTGCTTTTGTAAATTTCAGGACCATGCTTTTATAAAAAAAAATCCAGAATTATTCTTGAATATCATATTATTTCAGGAGCTGCAATGCATGTAAATATAACAGTCCTTAATAAGTAATATCAAGAAGCACTCTGGAGGCGCAGGCTGTCGACAACTTTGATAGGGCAACCTAACCCCAAGATTTGCAATCACTTCTGGCATTAATAAAAAGAGTGGATGGGGGAGGGGGGTTGGGAATGAGTAGGGAGTTTAGCTCAAAGAGTGACGTGGCTCTTGAAGTGGTAGTAGGAACACAGCGGAAGTAAGCCCGTGTTTATGAGGCCCTGTTTAGACAGGCGAAAACACATACATACATAGAGAGACAAACACGAACCGCACAGAGAGAGACAGACACATAGATAATTCAGTGTTTTTTTTTATGTGACACCAACACCGGATGCAGTTTAACGAAACGCCCAGGAAGAAAGTTTACAATCAGAACCAGTTTAATCCAGCTCGGTTGATGAAGGGCACTTATTTGCTGTTGCTAATAATTATTTTAATGTCCTATCAAACGGGGGGCTCCGAGCGATATTTTTTTGGCAGTCACTCAACGTGAGTGTTTGCGTGTGAATCCTGCAAACCTATGCTTCACCGTGCGGCAGCAGCAGTGGCGGTGGCGCATATAAACATTGTTTGTTTCTGTGTACGTTTCTGGGATTTTTGTGGCACATTAATAGCGTTGTTGGAGTTAGATGGACTGATTAAATTAAGCACCGATTCCAGTGGTGGTGTGCAAACATTTAGAGGAGGGAAAACCCTTCTGTAAGAAACTCTAACCTAGCACTGCTGGGTCACTAATTGCCCAACAGATGGCAGCACAGAAAGTGGGCACACGAACCCATCTGTGCAAACTTTTGAGTGTTAACTTGCTACAGTTTGCTTCCTGCGTGAAAAATAGTCCTTAACATTAAATTGGCCCATCATCCCATTGCAAGACATGCCTGCAAAGGCATCTTCAGTCACAGGCCTACCTGGATAAATCACTGACATTGTGACATGAAATAATCATAACTCTAACCATAACATGTTTTATCTTCATGGCACCACATAGCTTGCTTTGGCTCACAGATGAGCCATTGTGAACTCAAAATTTCTGTTGTTCCCATTACTGTTGTAATGAGTTCAACTGAGTCGCAGATGCACTTCTTGGAGGCAACACATGTATTAAAACCAACACACGGGGTACTACCCCTTAACACATTAACAACCTATGGTGGTGGACCACCGGGCTAACTACTCTAATTACACTGGAGTTAGCTACGACGGACCGGACCCCGGCCTGGGTCCCAGTTCACGTGTTGGTGACTCTTGTAGGACGTAGAACGTAGAATGTAGATTATTCATGATGAACAACAGCAGCTGGTCCCTCTCGGGGACCCGGCTTTTATCCTCTGTGGCGGGGCTGGCTCCGTCCTTCGCCACGACCACCTTCTAGAATCCTCTAGCAGGTTCTCGACCTTGACACGTGACCACCCCTAGCCCCCACCTGGGGCCCCTGTGTAGACTTTACCGGTCACGTGTCCTTCGGGGTCAACCAAAGTGCCATGGCCATTATTAACCCCATTCCCATGGCTGGTACTCTCGCACCCTATCCTGTAGGGGTCGGCACTGCACGTAGAGCGTGGTGCCACTCAGCACTGTCGGACAGTGCTCACCGAGCCCCCCTAGGGCCGGTAATGCACCCACATACACGTGGTGCCCGCGATGGCAATACATCCCACGCTGTGCCTCTCGAGAGCTGGCATTGCACAGTGACATCTGCGATGTCACTACACTGTGAACTTAGGATGTTCTGTAATGCATAATTCTTACTCTTACTGTAAACATCAGTCCCAATCTGTAACCAAATCCTTGAAACTAATACTTATTCTAACACAAATCCCTTACCCTAATTCCAACAAATTAATCATCAGTTAAAATGAAACCGTAATATGTTTAAAACAATTTTCCACAAAATAATTGACAGATGAGACTGGTGATGAAATGGCAGCTGAAAGAGAGAACGTGCCCACATGAGGATGAGTACAAAGGAGATAGAGCAATTAGAGATTTTCATGTGCAGGAGTGAGATGGATTATGGCTTCGTAGGGTTATTGCAGATGAAAATTATGTTAGGGAGGCTTTCATCCAGCAATGGATGACTGATAACGATGGTGCAGATGATAATGATGGTGAACTGTCATTTACTTATAAAGGAGAACCTCATAGAGCATTGAATTCTCTTTTTGGTCCTGCGTTGGGATGTTTAGCTGATCCCTGGACATGTTAACGCTCAGACAGCATTACCATAATTTCATTAACTGACCGGTTTATTTTGCCGAACCAGCCGCACGGCTCAGCCAAAACGCCCGGGTACAGGAGGGTTTCAGACAGAGGCATTGCCATCTCCTGCACCCTCTTCACTATCGGTGTGTGTGAAAATAGAACGACACGACTGTGCCGGCAAGGCCGAGCAGACAGATAAAATTAAACGTTCGATTTTGCAGCACCACTCCAAGATACCCACCAAACCAGTACAAATCCGAGGTTACAATTTCTTCTAATTTCCCCCAAGTTTATCCCGATAATGCAAGAGACAAAGTATATATTTGCATCTGTTGCAAAGTAGTCCAACCTTTTTGCCTTAGAGACAGGCCCATGGAAGCAGATATCACAGAGCTACCAATGAGATCCCCTCAAGTGACCTCTGGTCCACTCAGTATGTGGTATCACTTACCCACCAACTGCGCATTACAGTAATGTTCGTCACGTGACATTAGAGCCAGCTGACCACTACTTGAGAACTCGGTTTAATCGCAGGTGGCTGAAACCTGGAATCCCAGTGATGCCAGCTCAGTCCTCTGACCTGTGACCTCTGAGCCACCCGACAGCCACCACCTAGACGAATACAAAACATAAAACAACCCGCTGTGAGATTTAGCTTCGCCGGGGTAGGAGTCTGTTCCAAGAAGACTTAGCGCAGAGCCCAAATGGCTGTAAAGCTAAACGTCGTGTTACGAGGCTGGTTTTATTTGTGTGTGTGTGTGTGTGTGGCACCCTGAGAACGATTTTTCTGAGAAAAGCCAGTGCGATTCCCGATTTAGATTAAAACGGTACATGGCCTACAAGGGGAGTTTTCAGAAATAGATGGCAAGAATAGCAGTTGTTTGCACACAAAAAAACAAACGCGGAGTTAGTAAGACTGCAGTGGTGGTGTTGGTGGTATTGGCTTGCTGATAGTTGTTGAATTCAGGCACACCATTACATCTTATGGGATCTCAATGACTTACAATCACTTTATAACGGCTCTTTTCCTTTGCTGTCAACTCCCTGCTTCAGTTCAAGTTCAAGACCTTCCTCTTTCCCTTCTGCTTGTGACTGATAGTACCTTTCTCCCTATAAAATAAATATGCCCAATGTTTATGGGCAGCGAATTGAAATGGGAGCACATTTTGACACTATGTAAATCCAATTTGCTATGTATTCTACGACTTTTGCATTCTAAGAGATTGTTACATTCCAGTGAAAGCCACAATGATCCAGAACTTTTTCAGGAGCATCTTACTTTGAGATTTTTGGCCAATAATTTTTTGTTCAGTATTATTGTTGTTGTGTGTGAGGAAACTGGGAGTGCCAGGAGAAAACCCCATGCAAACAAGCAGTTAAAACTCAAAGCTGATGTGCAGATTGGTCATCAACATGCTTGCTCGACTGCCACGTACGGGCACCACCCCATTGCCCCATATGTCAGGTGACTCAAATACACAACGGCTGAATCTGTGTATGATCCACCAACTCTTGCTTCCACGAGTTGATGAATTTTAGGCGTGAGTCACCACGCCAAATTGAGTCATGCAGGCAGAGATAATCATTGCATCTACGGTGGTGAGTTTTGAGGAGCGGTACAAGCGCACTGACATACTTTGAGTGGGATGGAGGTCACACACGCATAGACGTGGCTGATGTTGTCTGAAAAGGTAAAATAGTGGTATTCATTTTGTTCTGAAGCGCTTTGTTGAATATAACCCCGTGCACTTGTTTAGTGTTGTGGTGGAGGCAGGTGATATAATTCTGACAATAATGCAAAAAAAATATATCTGGAAAAGCCTCACTTAATACATTGGGATATTCGTCAAAGATGTAATGAATAATTATAGTGTTGGGGTGGAGCTGCGGCACAGAGGTGCACACTCACACTATGGAACCCAGTGACCTGCATTCAATTTCTGGCCGTTGCTCGCATCAGTCGTGAACGACGTCCGAATGAGTGCTGGGACCCTTCTTCACCAACCCCAAGTGTGGCCAAACAACCCTCGTGCTCGACACGGTGGTTATTCATCCAGTGGTGGATCGACAGAGGGATGTACTTATTTATTATTGTAATTATTATACTTATTATCCAGGCTGAAGCCAGCTTAGATTATAAACTCTAACCAGATCGAGCACATTCAGAGGAGAGTCTGTACATTCACCCATGCTGCCGGACTAACGGCCACAATCGTGTCCCTCACAGATCATCCAGCAGGCGGGCCAAGTATGGTTCCCGGACTCGGCGTACAAGACATCACAGGCCATCAAGGATTTCAGCCGGGAGCACCTCCCACTCATGGTGTTTGCCAACTGGAGAGGCTTCTCAGGCGGAATGAAAGGTGAGCTGTGGGCAGCAGGCTTATAAAACCTCAGCTTCTCCCCACCCCTGACAATTTGGTGAATTGCCACGAATCACTTCGATTCAACTATCGTTTAGTTTGTCTTGATTTTTTTACCGCCTCTTCTCTTCATGGCTTTTATGATTATAGCAATAATACAGATATTATAAATGCAGTATAAATAACGTAACAAGCTGTAAATTGGCTGAATTTGGCCTTCGTGGAAGTCGCGGGATTTTATTAAGAAAACGGATGCACCGGGGAGCACCGCAGCCCCTCAATTAGCCTGGTGTTTCAAGGACACACTCCATTGTACGAAAATTCTCGTGCCGTTTTGACCCGAGCCTTTACAGTGATGAGATGCTGCCGCCGCCGCTCCGCGTCTCGTTGCGGTAGACCGGCGACGGCGGCGAACCTCGGCGTCATCGTAAAGCGTGCGATTCGCACCTTGAGTTTCTGCACCGTAAATTAGGGGCCTCCGTCGAGTGCGTGAGCACTCCAGTAAGGAGATAAATAAATAGGGGCTCTGATCCCATTGAGGAATGTGCTGCGGTATTGTTTTAAATTGACCTGAGCGACCTTTCTGAGCAGTTTGATGCTCGGAAATTAAATCAACGTGTCAAATGAAGGTTATCGCCAAACTAATTGCCAATGCACACGGAGCTTTGCACTGTCAGTCCTGCGCTGGCAGGCTATTTAAAAATTAAGTGGATGAAAATTAGAACTTATTCCAATTTTTCACCAGTGCGCCGCGTTACGTCGCAAACAATTTATTAAAGAAATAATAATAAATTAAAGGAAACTATTTTGGGAGCGAAAATAAAGAAATAAAGTAGGAGTGGCGTGCAGCATGCTGTTTGAGGATAGGCTGGGGACTGTTAGTGTTAGTTTTGTGCGTGTAGTTATTTATTTATGAGACGCTCACTGTGAAGTGGTCGTGACCTTATTTCAAGTTTAAGAGGTCATCGCGGCAAATGCCATTTATATCACTACATCTCGCCATGGCTTCCTTCCTTCTGCTAGATTTCAAAGCAGTTGTACAGTCAACACCTAACCTCCATTGTCTGCTTTTACAGTGTTATCAAACTTATATAATTTTACAATAAAACGCCATGGTCTATCCACTTTTGGATGAAGGCCTTCATATGCTATCTCTATCTCATCCAGTCTTGTGATGCCACAATTTATATCACTCATGTATTTGAGTTTATCTCACTATTCTGTCTCCACATTTTTAGGCATTGGATATTGAATTCACATTGCTGCCCTTTGTCATTGCACTGCTGGATGAAGACCTCCCCATATCATGTCAGTCATGGGGGCTATTTGACCATGCTCATCACGCTGAAGTATGGCCAATGCAAATATATGCCACAGAAATGTGTGCACTGCTCTAGAACCTCGGCCCCTGAGTTCGATTCCCGCCAACAGCTAACATCAGTGGCATGAGTGCTATGTCTATGTATCTTGACACCCTGGTGGACACCCTTGCAAACGAGATAGATATCCCATCTCAAGGGATTATCCAGGCAAAGTATGTTGTTAAGTAGTGAATTATCTTCACCTGTCCAGGGTTGTTGTCCCCTTTTTTCAGCAACTCACACTAACCAGCATGGATTAAGTATCACCAAATAACCCCCATAACCTATAAGGAGGCCCTCATCCAGCAGTGGATTGACACAAAGAGCTCTACATGTACAACCCACGGGGAGGGTGAGGGTGAGGGGCACGTTGGGCGGACAGTCGGCGCACCTCCGAGGCAGCGGGATTCGCCCTGCGTGCGTGTGTGTGTGTGCGCGCACGCGTGCATGTCCTTCAGATGCCCCCGGCACCGCACGGCAAATAACTTGGCACATTAATGAGCTGTGACCGACAGGAGCCGAGCGGGAGGGAATGCACACACGCACGCCCCTGTGCGCACACGTGTGTGCGCACGTACGCGTATATACAATACTTGGTACACGCATGTGTGCATACACACACGTACACATAAATGCTGTGTAGTGTCTCGTACAGATATATTGTAGAGTACGTGCATGCATGGATGTACAAACAATACATGGTATAATACAAATGCAATGCAGATGTGCATATACACAATACATTGCACACATGCAATACATATCACACACGTACATGCATGTGCATGATTACATGGTACATACATGCAATGTATAAATTGTGTATATGTATAATACACGTGGATATACACACAACATTAAATATAATAGAGGCCGTAATCCAGCAGTAGATAGACAATGGTTGATGATGACATACATTACACAGCACGCACGTTATTGGAATACACAGCAGCACACACGTACGTGTATACAGTTGACAGCACATACAATACACAAAGATAAATATCCCCCGTATAGCCTTAACAGACTGCAGGGGCAAGTGCTGTTAGCGAGCACCTATGAAGGCCAGAATGGTACACGAGGGGGTGGGTGGCCAGCACCACGCCCGACCGCCTTTGTCTCCCCAGTGGCGATGCTTACGCACCGCACCAGGTACTCATTTGAGGCTGAGTCGACCTAGGGGAGGCTCAGGACCGGTTCAGATAATCGTCACTTGTGTTGGCCATGAGCGGGAATCGAACCCGGGTCGCTGGGTTTGTAGTGAAGCGCGCTAACCGCTACACTACCACTCCCCACATACAATACATAGTATATACACACACGCACATTGCAAGGCACAACCACATAAGGAAACGCGGCACACATGCATAAACAACACACACTCAACGTGCGTAATTGCACACTCCTGAAGCACACACAAACATCACACATTTGACATGCATGTTTGCACCCACACACGTGTGCACATGTACAAACATATGCAATACACATATAACATACATACCATGTATACACACATATCTTCCTTTATAGACCATAGGGGCAAGTTATCTTCACGAGCACCTATTTGGGCTGGCGTCTCACAAGAATAGGCATTGTGGATGGCACCACACCCAGCTTTTTCTCCCCTGTTCACAAAATATAATTAAGGCTAAGTCTACCTCGGGAGGCCCAGTACAGGTTTAGATAAAACTTGCATATATCCCTGTTTACTGAGATTATTTAAATTGGTTTTACACATCAGCTTTGACGAAAATATTTCAAGAATATATCTTCTACAGGGATGGGTTTATAATTCACAATATTTTTTGAAATATACATTTCGTGTTGGTTTTCATAATACAGGCAGGTTAATGAAACTGGATGCACTAAAGCAGTTTATTTGCCCCAATACAAAAGGTTTAATACTTAAGAGTACAAATATGACAAAAATGCAGCACCACCATCATTAACACAGCCATACAAACAGAATAAGTGTTTGGTTCTGCAGTGACAGTCACAAGAACAATGTCGGCATGTTTGGACATAGCAACGAAATTGGCTCTTTTAGAGTCGACCTGGAGGGGGGGGGGGGGGGCAGGATCGGTTCAAATAATCATCGCTACTGTTGGCCGTGAAGAGGAATCGAACTCAGGCCGCCGGATTTGTAGCATGGTCCAGCTTGCGAACTGCTGCTCATATGTACACACAACAACAACAAAGACAAAAATCCTCCATATAGCCTTATCAGACTGTTGGGGCACAAGTGCTGTTAGTGAGCACATGTGAAGGCTGGCACGGCACCGTGCCCAGCCTTATAGTGGCGATGTTTACACACCGCACCAGGTACTCATTTGAGGCTGAGTCGAGCTATGAGAGGCCCAGGACCGGTTCAGATAATCGTCCCTGTTATTGGCCGTGAGCGGGAATCGAACTTGGCTCGCCGGCTTCTTAGCGCAGTGTGCTAACCGCGACGCTATACCGCTCCCCATATGTCCACACATGGTGAGACATGTACACTGTCGGAGACACACGGACAGACACCCTGGGGCTGATGGAGGGGTGTGCACGACCTCACACACCTCCATCACCCCCTGGGGTGGCCGCTGCCTCGCCCTGTTATTATCGGTGCCACTGTGGTTGCTCTAATGCCGGGCAGGTGGTGTGAAGGAAGTGGATGGGGGGGCACACCCCACACACCCCCGCCCTTGTTGTGTTGTGGGATTTCCATGCTTCATCACCAACCTCCACCCGCCCCTTTCTCAGTGATTAGATGAATTGTCACGATTCTGGTCACAATTTGATTCAAGAATCGATTTTAGTTGTTGCCTTGTTTGTTCTGTCTTATCTGAACTGTTCGTCTCGTTTGTACTCTCTCGTTTATTCTGTTTTCTGTTATTGGCTTTCTTGTTTGGCATGACCACGAGTTTAAAGGGAATTGTTTTTGCATAAACATGCGTGAAACAAAAGTGTAGTCGTAATAACTTACACGCAAAATTCCATTCAGATAGTGTGAGCCTAAGAATATATTGCAATCGATCGATTGATAGATAAATGCAGAACGGTGGACATGGTGGAGTGCAAGGGCGGATGTATGGATGCATTGAGAAAGGAGGGCGGGAGTGAAGGAGGTGGTGAAGAATGAAAGTGTTGAAAGGCTGAAGGGAAGTTAGGGGTAATGGGATGGAGGAAGGTGAGGAGTGATGGGATACATCAATGAAGGAGATGGAGAAGAATGGAGGGGAGGCTATGGGTAAAAGGGATGAAGGAAGGCAGTTGTGCACGATGGAGGAATGAATGGATGGAACAAAGGGTGGAGGGAGGTGGAAATGAATGGATGGAGTAATGTACGGAGGGGTGAAGCAAGGTAGGGAGGGATGAAGGAAGTGTAGGGAGGGAACAGCAAAGGGAGACAGTGAGGGAAGCAGAAAGAGAGGGAGGGACTGAGAGAGGGAGGGAGGGAGCCGCAGGGAGCTGCAGGGAGGCGGGGAGGGGTGGCGCCCTGGAGCCCAGAGCTGATAACGCCAAGCATCAATCACCGGTTGCTCGTGCTCCGCTTGCCTTATCTAGCCGAGCCAGACCAGTGGACGGTTACGGGCGAAATGGGAGGTGTGTGCTGAGGGGTGGGGGGCGGGAGTTGGGAGCGGTGGCGTAGTGGTT